ATACACACCAAACTGATCATGTGCAGCCTGCTCCCAAAGCTCTGTTCTATCAGCAGATGGATTGGGAACAGTAGAAGAAGGGTAGGATCAGAGAAGACAGGATCAAACATCCTTTTTGCACAATGCAGAGGATTAACCCCTTATATTCCACTATAACCAGCATGTTTTACTGCATATACAGAATGATTTTACTGTTGTGGGTCTAGTAACACTTTAAGGCAAATAGACTGCTCATTTTGCAAAGGAAGTTGAACATTGCAATAGAATTTTCCCCAGAGCTTAGTAAATGAGGTGAAGCTCTGCTGACTTCCATCATTCAATTATATGCAAGCAAAAATGCAGTTTTTTCCTAGCATGTTTGCAAAGTGAAAATTTCACCATATTCACTAAACTCTGGGGAAGATTCTCATGCAAAGTGCAACTTCCCTTGCAAAGTGAACAGCCTGTTTGTCTTTAATGAATCAACTCCATTGCGCCTCAAAGTCCAGCCACACTAGACTTGTGGTTTTTTTTTTCATTTGTTTTTTCTCCATTCATATTTTGCCAAGGATAAAAAAGCCAATACACCATAGCAGAGAAGTGATTCTGACTGGTCTATATTCTGCATGTTAGACAAAAAGTTAAATATGGATTCATATATCTGTAGACAACTATTAATTATATTATTAGTCTGCATTTACGAAATACATTACTGCTGACCTTTTATTACTTCCCAGTGGCTGGCTCTGGAATGCTTCCCAATAGTACCTGATGTCCAGCAACAATTTTAAGTTTTGGTAACAAAGGGGCCACTAGTGTTTATTGAGCCCAAGGGACTATTTTGCCTCAAGATTTGATATCCGATGCTGGCAAGTACATTGTTGCGCAAAGTGTTGAACATTTACAAGCAGTTATATATAAATAAATACAGAAGTTCCGTGTTAACAAGTGTTAAACAAATGCTGGTTAGCTTGTTATTTTACAGTAGGTGTGTTAGTCACTTTAAGGCTTAAAACAATATTAAACCCCAAACCAAAAATGTTATATATTGCAGTTTACCAATCACTAGATGCGGTAGCTGCATTAGCTTTCTTTTTTTAGGCTTTTCCCCTGTTTTCAGGGTGATCTGGCCGTTAATACACCTCCACTTTGGATGAAGAAGCACAGGGGGCACCTTTGGACAGCAGCATTGACAGTCTGGGGGGGAGAGGAGTTTTAGATGCACTAGCAGATTTAGATGCGCTAACAAATTGAAACTAAAATAAAAGCTGATTATTGTAAGCACCCCTGCCAGTGGTTTGTCGCATCCCTTCGCTGATACATCTGTACATTGTTTAAAAAACAAACAGACTTGGTGGATGGATCATCAGATGAAAATAGAAGAAAGAAAGCCTAAAAAGAAAACTAATACAGCCATCACATCTAAGATTGGTAAGATGCAATATAATTCATGTTTGCTTTTGGGTTTAATACTGCTTTCATTTAGTAAGGCATGCAAAGAGCAATAATGATGTACAAAGTGCAGTAACCTGCTGGTAGCTGATGAGTTCATTATTTCAGAATGGTATGAATAGTAGAAAATGATTGCTAAGTGGCTACTATGGACTACAGCACTTTGCACAAGGCTCTATGCCTTATCAAGTAAACCTGCATGGATCAGAGTCATTAGTCAGCCATATATTTAAAGAGCCATCAAACATAAGAATATATTTTTTGGGGGCTTATTCAATAGGCTACTTCACTGATGACTTGCAAAACATGTTTGTCCACAGCCACCAATGAGGATTCAATTAACTGAAGTCCTCTCATAAAATATTATTCTAATCGTTTGCTACATGTTAATGCTTTGGAAATATAATTTCATAATCATAATACGCATATATAACATAAAAGAGCTACTAATAACAATAATAAATGTATGTGTTACTGGGAAGCCTATCCTGCCTTCAGCTAATAATGGAATCTTCTATTCCTCCTACCAGTCCATCCCCCACATTTATTACCTTTTATACCACTAGCCCTCCCTCTTAGATTGTAAGCTCCAAGGAGCAGGGCCCTCCTAACCCTCTTGTAATGAACTGTATTGTCTCTCGTTATATTGTAAAGCGCTGAGCAAACTGTTGGTGCTGTATAAATCCTGTATAATAATAATAATAATAATACAGGGTAACTTTGAGCGTAGACCTCAAGAACCAGCAAATTCTGTGGCTAGTACTGAGGTCCAGCTGGTGGAGGCTTCTGCTGACTATTGCAGCGTCAGTGGTTGCTGGTATTTCATTTCTTTTATTTAACAGTGATTCATGAATAAAAAGTACAATAGTAGTTTTCATTCATAAATGAATGCAGAGTACGAGATGTCAAACTGAATCCTGTAGACTCAGTCAAACAGTCCTGCAGATTACAGAGGGGAAAAAAACAGCTCTCCTTGCATATTTTTATTGATTACGGGTTACTTACATAGGGCTATCAATTTATGTATCTGTTTACATATATATTATTCATTCACATCAGTCTCTGCTTTCAAGGAGCTTACAATCTAAGGTCCCTAACTCAAATTCATACATACACATTCTAGGACCAATTTAGACAGGAGCCAATTAACCTACCAGCATATCTTTGGAGAGTGAGGGCCACACAGGCACAGAGAGAACATGCAAACTCCAGACAGGTAGTGCAGTGGTTGGGATTCGAACTCTAGTACTGCCATAATCATCAGAGCTCTTTAACAGGCAGGTGCTTTGCAGTTTACCCCTGGTTCACATATATGCAGCTGTGCAGGCTGCGTTTTGCGTGGGCACGAGAGCCAATTAATTTGAATGGACTCCCGTGACACGCAGGGAAGAAGTCCCTGCACTTCTTCAGAAAACGCAACCCGCACAGGAACCTCGGTTCCCAGTATGGTTGCATTTTCCAGTGCGGGCGGGCGTGCCGTTAGAACGAATGGCACCCGTCCGCGGGTCCGCATTCCTCTGTGTGGGTGGTGTGCACGGATTTCTGTGCGGATCCGCAGCGGTACCACCCGCACATATGTGAACCTAGCCTTACAGAGCAAGCAGCTGTCACACTGACAGTGGAGCAGATTGCCACTGGTTACACAGGCAGAGCCAGGTTCCAGAGCCAGTGTAATTTGGAGGACTGAGCTGTTAATTTGAACAAGGCTATGAACTGAATAAGGACTATCAGTTATAGAAGCTCAGCAACAGCATAATGCAAGATACAGCTGGGCAATAGAGAGCAGGAGAGGCTCCGGTCTAAGCTGCACCCCTCACAGTGCAGCACCCAGGGCAGGTGCCACCTCAGCCCAGCCCTGTAGTCAGCAGTGTATTTAAAAAATATTTCTCCCACCTCCGCTATAAAGCCTACTTCCAGCTACATATTTTTTTTTAGTTTTGGATAGAATGGAAAAGAGTTCAAATTTAAATGTTGTTTTTTGTCTATGATCCCCATGTAGGGATCTCCCCTTACTTCCTGTCCTTCCTATTATGCCTTTACAAGAAATAAGGGGTGGGGTTGTTAATAAAAATATTAATAGATTAAAAGTTCTGACCCTTCCTCATTCTAAAAATGCGTTTTGGTCTGTGTTCCTGTTGGAGAGACTTATCATCATTCCCTGTTTTGACTGGAAATCTCACTAATAGGGATACAGACAGTAAAAGAAAGCCCCAACAAAGGTTCTAACTCCACACCACACATCCAAAATGAGGTAAACCAGTTTTTGGTTGGAGTTGTTTCATTGCTTATTTTTTTCTAATAGTGTTCTGTAACTACATATTCATTTAAGAATGTTAATAAAAACTCTTTTATGTAAATTAGTCATTCAACTTATATGTTGTGGCCCTTTAAATAACAGCATTTAACATGCATTAGTACCCAGGTCCTGTGTAATGAAAATCCTCGGTGTACAGAAGGTAATATCACTCATCTACAAGGCAACCCACATGTGCTGCCATTATAGTCTTTTAGGGTGATCTGTGTTACCATTGAATGTAGTTTGCAAGCTGTGGATACCATGCAGTAAACAGTTTTCTTTTTTTAATATATAAAGGTGGATTTTAGAAGAGTATCCATGGTTTATAGGAAAGTCCAATTCAGACAAGGAGAATCTGCAAGTAAATATTTTTTGTGAGCTCCAATTAAGTAGATTTATTTGTTTCACAATAACTCAGATGGTAGAAAAACTGTTTAGCGTACATGATAACTACGGAGCTGCATTGTAAAATAGGAGAATGGTTTCTGGGAAAGCAGAAGCAAAAGAGGGGTGGACAACAGCAAGCCAGACCATCTATACTTACTACAGAGACAGGTATTCAGAGTCTGAGGTGACTCCTGCCATGAGACAGCACATGGAAAGAGAAGGGGAAACATTGTGGCGACACACACACACACACAAAGACACAATGACAACGTATGATCACAATGGATATTGATAGAGCTGAAGTGGGAAGAGAAGATAAGGACAGAAGCACTGAGAGCAATATTCCAAGGATAGACCTGTTAAGTGACAGAGCTCAGTTCCCGTCAGTGTATCATAATTAATTATATAACTGCGCATGGCTATACAATGCTACTCTTTTAAATCATACACAATGTAGAGAGTCCATATGAAGTTATTCTCCACTCAGTTGCAGCTTTCTCTTGCCTGTTGCTGTCTCCTAAAACTGATGTAAATACTTCCTTGACAACTATCTTTATGGTTTAACTGTCCAAGGAAAATGATTATTAAGAAATAACATACACACATTTCAAGATATAACTTGTGTGAATGAAAGATAATCTGCAGGTGAGCTTATAAAATGTACTTTTACTTAACGACATTGCTATGAATAGATCATTGAATTTTGATTTAATTTTATAAAGATTATCCACTGACATATCACTAACAAAGACTTCACTTTGTGTGGTGTATGGATTTAACAAGAACATTCCATATTTTAGGACTAAGTATCTAGAAACACATTCAATTTATGCTACAGTCTACAAAAAACTGTCTGCATCAGAACACATGTAAACTAAGTACCTACCTTCGGATGATTTGGAAGGAGACACAGCCAGAGCAGTGGTCTTTGTGGGACTTCTTACAGGAGAGGTGGGTGGTGTTACAAGTGATGGTTGAGAATCATCCTCAAAACCTTCCTTATCTCCTGCATTTGTAGGCACAGAAAGTATGTGTTTATCTCTCATAAAACTCATAAAAAAAACATTCCCATGCAGAGAGCACAGCTCATTGAGATGTAGCACACTTATTTATTCTAACCTAAACCTGGGAAACCTCACAGGGCAATAACTCTAGTTCAGTTGTCTCCAAACTGTGCTAGATGTGGCCCTTTGCTTGCCTTTATCCGGCCCTTGGGGCACTATTCCTCCCACTGGTGCCTATGATGGGGCACCATTCCTCCCTAAGACACCAACAATGGGGCACTATGCTTGCCACTGATACCAACACTGGGGCAATATTCCTCCAACTGATACCAACATTGACGCACTATTCCTTCCAATACAACCAGTGAAAGGTTATTGCTTACTCTCATTGATGGCAGGTAATTTTCTACTCCCCCCTAAAGCCTGAAGAGCAGTAAACTGGCCATTTTTTTTAGAACGTTTGTTGACCACTGCTCTAGATGATGAATAAAAACTGTAGGAATGGAAAAGTGCCTGTGTTGTTAATATCTGCCAGATTCTTACATTCATTCATTAACTAAAACTAGAAACATGATCCTGAAATATGTTGATATGGGTGACATGCCATATATACCTTTAAGAACTGTTCTACATGGATATATGATGACAAAGCAAATATGGAAGTAAATGTCATGCAGCAATTTATATTTTGAGGCTATGCAGACAGGAAGCTTGATCACATTGCTTAGGCTCTTATCAATCCACCTGTGCACATGTAGATTATCTATAACTCATGCAGTGTTGATAGAAGCAGGACCCTTTGGTGCCAGTATGTTTGGGTGCAGGAAGGTTAGTCTTTGGCCCAGTGCGTACCAGTGGTGCAAGGGAAGGGAGTATGAAAACAATGGATTACATTTAATTAGAGAGAGTTATAGTAAGGTTTGTGGTTGCAGTAAAGTGTTAGTATGAAGGGTAATGTTAGGGTTAGGACAGGTTGGAAACCCTATATAATCAATTTTTGTTTTCCCCTGATAAGTTGGTGAAGGAGGAGTCTGTGGTGTCCCATCCTTACTTTGAAAAGGTAAACACAAATGGTCAAGTGGTTTATGGCTACATTTAAGACTGTTCTTCATCATATACCGAAGCTATCTAGCTGGATCATGAATTACAGGTTATGCCTACCATCAAGAGCAAGTTTTTTCCTCTCAACCTCTTTTTTATACTCTTCCAGCTCCTGGTCTGTCAGCTGGCTGAATGGGTTAGGTGGCTCTGGTTCAGGCAAGACCTCTTCCACTGGCTGCTCCTTGAGCTCTGCTTCTGTTTTGGTAGCTAGATGACTGTCTGCAGACTACAAGTACAGGGTTGGATTAAAGATTTACAGTAAAGTACAGAACTGCCTAAAAATAGAAGATATTCACAAATCACCACCTGTAATTTGCCCAAAGCAGGCCAAGCATGCATAAATAGGTGTAAAGATGATTGATTTCCAAGTGAAGACACCAGATTGCACTGTTGCTAGTAAATTGATTTGATTTTGAGTCTGATCTGACTTAAAAGGTACAATGCACTTTAAAAAAGGTAGCATGTGCTCTTCTGTGTTTGGTTGACTGTAAAATTGATAACACACGATCCCAAATCTTTCTATTTCGTTTTATTGTCTCTCATTTTTTTTTAATTTAGTAGGCTCCAGAACATTTTCAACAAACTTGCAAAGTCTGGGCTTTGCTGATTCTACTTGAGCTAATAAAAAGTGTTTTATATAGCACAGGAATTGGCTCCCAATGCCAAAATTTTCTCACATTTAGTTTATGAGCCAGAGAACAAAATTATCTATGTGATTTTCTATGGAAAAAAAGATGAAAGAATTCACTTTATTCAAAACAGTCTTTCTCTAATATAACAGCAAATGGTGAAATGATGGGGCAGGAAGAGTCATTCTAGGAGCTACAATAAAAAGATCTTATGTGATATACCATATAATAATAATACTACCAATACCGTGCCCTTTTAAGTGAAAATTTCCACAAAAATCATCCAGTGATCAGTGAACCCAAAATAAATTACAACAGTGATAGTGATGAAAAATAAAAAAAAAAATATAAAAATAAATCAATATTTCCAACTATTGGGAATATATAATATATAATCAATTCCAAAAAATATATTAGTGCATCTCCAAGAAATATGAACTCACGTGTACATCAATACACGCGTGTATCCATAAGTACCCCCATTCAGTGAAAAACAATGTGCATACAGGTGAAAAAAGTGCAATAACACACAACACAAAAATTATATATTTCTGTGCTTATAAAGTCCAAACACATAGATGATCACACTCCAATCACAAACTCGTGCTGATATTAGTGAGACAGTGGGACAGCCTCTCACCTTAAAACTTCGACCCTTGCGGGTCAAAACACTTAAATAGGATCCCTCTCACAGATCCTTCAGGACAGTTGTCACTCAGTTGGCTCCTCTCCAGACAAGATCAAACGCTGCACTAATAACTCATATAAAACATAAAACACATGCCTCCATTGTGTAGTATGTTTAATTGCCAATATTTAGACAATGACAAGTAAATTGCGCACTCACATTAGATAGCAGACATCACAACTTCAACCTCATGCTTTTGGATGTGATGAATATGTATGGGTGTACACAGGTGTACCAAGATGGCCGCCACGCCGGAAGTGTGTCACTACGTCTGGCCAACGCGTTGCGTCACAATACCATGTGACTTCCTCAGGGCTCTGGGTATTGGCAATTAAACATACTACTACACAATGGAGGCATGTGTTTTATGTTTTATATGAGTTATTAGCGCAGCGTTTGATCTTGTCTAAAGAGGAGCCATTATTGGAGTGCTGACCTTTAGAGAGAGTTGTGTATGCAGTGGGAACAAATCTGTGGAGTGACAACCGTCCTGAAGGATCTGTGAGAAGGATCCTATTTAAGTGTTTTGACCCGCAAGGGTCGAAGTTTTAAGGTGAGAGGCTGATCTAGCCGGTGGTTGGATATTTTGTCAACAATCAACCCACTGTCTCACTAATATCAGCACGAGTTTGTGATTGGAGTGTGATCATCTATGTGTTTGGACTTTATAAGCACAGAAATATATAATTTTTGTGTTGTGTGTTATTGCACTTTTTTCACCTGTATGCACATTGTTTTTCACTGAATGGGGGTACTTATGGATACACGCGTGTATTGATGTACACGTGAGTTCATATTTCTTGGAGATGCACTAATATATTTTTTGGAATTGATTATATATTATATATTCCAAATAGTTGGAAATATTGATTTATTTTTATATATATATTTTTTTATTTTTCATCACTATCACTGTTGTAATTTATTTTGGGTTCACTGATCACTGGATGATTTTTGTGGAAATTTTCACTTAAAAGGGCACGGTATTGGTAGTATTATTATATGATATATCACATGATAAGTTATATATAATTATGATTTGATACACATATTGTGGGTTTATACACGGATAAATATTTTATATGAGTAGCGCTACATTTTACTTATTTATTAGTTCACGTATTCATTGGTATATGATTTAATGTTAGCAGCTTCTCTTGGTTTATAATTTTTTTGTTTGTTTTGAGCGCAGGAGGTTCACACCACTTCAATAAAAAGATCTTGCTACTGGTACCCCCATTAGATAAATAAAGTCAATTGATAATTCAAACTAGAGTGTGGACATGAGCCAGAGCCCTTATCGGCAGCAGGTGTTTTGTTATTTGAACTGATGATTCAAATTACCAGACTCTTCAAAGATCCTAAATGTCAGTCTTGAGTGGACGAACCATTTAGTGGTATTCTATAGTACAGTATAGAATAGACTTTGTATTTAGTTCCAACCATATGCTATACAGGAACCATATCAAAAACTGTTACTGCTAAACGTACTCAAGATGTACAGTATGTAAGCAAATACCGGAAGTCTATATTTTATCTATTACATTTTTACTGGAACACTTAAATGGGTATTAAACCCCTGAGGGAAAAAAAAATAAATGTAGAAACATACCTCGAGAAAATTAGACATCTCTGAACTTTGGGTCAAGCTGCTGTCAACTTTAACTATTTGCTATGCTCCATACATTTGGGGGTAGCGCCGCTATTATTACATTTATCATATATGGGTAGAGCGGATCCCAGTGTAAGATCTCCTGCTTCTGCTAATCACTGTACACAGAAATTAGTAATCTACAGTGTATCCTCCTATGGTCATTCACACCCCATGTGAAAATTCCAACAGAGACTGTATTTTAATTCAGTGAAACTTGCTCTACTGAATTTTTTATTGAATGTACAAGTTTTTTTACACTGCTTTAAAGCTACAGCCTGCTTTAGTATGAGGAAGCTACTGTTGGCTTCATTTAGAAAGACAAGTTAGAGCTGACCACATATGCAGCAGATATGCATTGATGTGTAACTCTGCCAGGGCTGCCACTGCATGTTGTCTTATAATACTTCAGTCATGTATTTAGGGAACGTCTGAATCTGAAGACTTGGCACTTTTCTGCAGGCAAATAACATTAAATATATTTGGTGTTTTCAATGTATTTTACTATGATAATTTAAAATTGGCATATATATATAAAAAAAATGCTTGTACCGGACTTCTGCTTTTATCAGTTATCACACTGGCTAATAACTGAGACTGTGGACCAGCAGACTTTACGTCTTGACGATTTTGCTCTCGGATCTGTAAAAAAAATAAAAATCACAATTATTAATAATCAAAGACAATGGTACAGTATAATGACCTACTGCCGTGCTACTAGTACTTTCTTTATCAATAAGAGCTCGCAAAAAAATTCAGTCCATGCCTATAAAAAAAATCATATATATGAAAAAAAGATTTAAAAACCAGTAGAATACCTTCTAAACATAAGATACTGTGCCCAAGGGTTATCTTCCATCCTATTCCATGCCACATCCTGACCCAGATTATGTACACAGTGGTAGATTTACTAAAAGCAAATAGAGTGTGCACTCTGTATTTCCTTTAAATAAATGTAAATGTGGTGAAGCTTCATCTTGTAAAGAATACCCAACTGGGTACGAAGAAAATAAAAAAAGCACTTTGCTTGCACATGATTGGGTAATGGAAATCAGGAGAGCTTCACCACATTTAATACGTTCTGTTGAAAATGAGTGCAACTGCACTTGGAAAGTGCACTGTCTATTTGCCTTTAGTAAATCCACCCAATGTAAATTTAGAAGCTGAACAGTGAGTATAATATGAACGAAACCAGCGCTCAAATCTTCATGATGACTAGGGGTACTCTAACTGTCATTTATTGAGGTGCAGCCCTTAGAAGATCGGGAAATCTTGGTACTGGTAAAGAAAAGGAAAACAGGGTGCACTCTCTTCGTGCATTACTGTGATAAAGAGTCAGTGGTGACGGGCCAAAGTGACGGTAGACCCTTATTGAGGTAGGCTAATGCGTTTTTGGAGACATACTCCCTTCTTCTAGCTCTGAAGGGAGTATGTCTCCCGAAACGCGTTAACCTACCTCAATAAGGGTCTACCGTCACCTCGGACCTTCACCACTGACTCTTTTTTTTTATCTGCCTTTGGTTTGTGAGTATGTAGTTTTATGCTTTTAAATAAATGTGTGTTTCACCACGGTAATGCATGAAGACAGTATGCCCTGTTTTGCTTTTCTTTAATCAGTATAATATAATGCATTATAAAATATTTGTATATTGATATTAAATGTTGTATTCTAATTTTATTACAGGTGGAAAAACTCATCAGTGCCTTTTTAATCGCCTTACATTTCACAGGCGGAGGTATTATACCACATACAGTATACCACACATGAAAACATTCACTTAAGTGATCACAAACAAAATTTTTAAAGTGCAAGTTTGAAATCCCTATCAATGATGGACACATGTATTAATATTTTCTTTTATTACACACTAACATTCTACAATTCCTTCTTGACTGGTTCTAATACTCTAAAACGGTTCTACAAACTTTCTAAAGAAAGGGACAGTTTATTATCCCTCAGGCTTTATAGGGGCCGAACTGTGGGCAGTGGGAGAAGAAAAGCCCTGGTGTCAGTGGGAGTAAATAGTGCCCAATATTTGCACTAGGGCAGAAATAATAATAATAGTAATTATTAGTGTCAATGGGAAGGATAGTTCCACACTGTTGAGAGCAGTGTGAGAAGTATTTCCCTATTGTTAATGTTAGGGATCCAGGTATGACCAGAAATGTGTGGACTGACACAGGGAACAGCAGGCTTCAGAAATGATGTAATAATAATAATAATAATAATAATATGATTTATTATTAGCCGCCCAAATATGCAAAACGCACAGTAAACAAAACCAACCTTCAACTAGTATCAATATGTGCAGGAACACAGGCGTAGTCAGCGCTGGAAAGGTGGAATGGTCAGGCAAGCCGTAAGGGCCTGCCAGGCACCACCCGGCGGGATCTCTAGTGACCCACAGGATGAGATTCCTCAGGGCGCGGAGTCTAAGCCCCAGTCTGCCTTTTCACCAGAGCCCCTGATGGTGGGGATGGACTTGGCGCAGGACTGAGACCAGGTCGCGGCCCCTGAGTGCACCCAACTGTGGTAGAGGGGTCCACCGAGGGTATGTACCGGGGGAGAGCCTGACGTGAAGAGGCTAGTAGGCCTGGGCAGCAGGGACTGGATCCTTGCAGGATGGATGGATAACCGTGAAGGTATAACGTAGTCAGACAGGCCAGGTCAGCAACTAACAGGCAGGTAGGTACAGGAGGAGCAGGCGGAGAGTGGTCAGGTCACAAGCCAGGTTCAGCAACTAACGGGCAGGTAGGTACAGGAGGAGCAGGCAGAGAGTAGTCAGGTAAAGAGCCAGGGGTCAGTGCAGGAGACAGTCAGCAGGATCAGGATCAAAGTAGGGTCGGCAACAAAGGGTACTTTACAGAACAGAGGATCAGGCACAGGTAGCAAGACACAGGGCTCATGGGAAACAACACCAAGGCACTGATTGCAGGCCTGGTCCTGCTTAAATAGACCTCCTGCAATCAGCCTCAGGTGATGGCTTGATTGCAGGAGTGAGACCCTGGCTGCTGAAAGCACCCTCTGGTAGGAGATGGTACTGCAGCCCACAGAGCAAGTGAGCCACAGCACCACCAGTGGTGAGTCCATTCCTGACAGTTGATGTCAGTGGCAGAAATTATGCCCCATTGTTGGTGACAGAAGGAGGAGAAAGAGGAGTAACATCTCTTATCACTGGGAGAAATAGTGCCCCTAGGGCAGGATAAAGGCTAGGCTAGCAAAGGGTTACAGTTTGAAGAAATCCATGTAAGAAATCCATCTTTGCAATTTCCTTATAACGTTTCATTTGGTTCAATGGTGGAAAAGGATCTTTGACTAGGGCATCCACCCAAAATGTGCTAGCAATTTAGAGTGGACCTGCATTTCAAGCCCTAAATAGAATATAAAAAGGTTTGAATGGATGGGATGTAAGCCCATTTCCTTAGCTGATCTCCAAGCACAGTTATCCATACAATATAATATTTACCTTGTTTCTGGTCTCCAGGACTTCACGTGGGTCTGTAAAGAGTGGCACAAACTGGTTGGGGTTCTCAATACGGATGGGCATGCCGCTACTAGGCTTCACCACTTCATCTGCCTTCATCCACTGCAGGAAGAAGAACAGAGGTAATAAGTATGAAAAAGATGATTTTCAGAAGCACTGTTGTATTATACAGTATATCCTTTACAAAGAATAAAATTAAATAGTGATGAAATGAAAATCAACTAATGCCACTATCTGCATGTATACTTCATATAAAAGGTGACTTGACCCATGTCTTGGGGCTCCCTACCGTGGTCTTACTCCTCGGGCTGCTCATGCTGTCTTCAGCCACATTGACTCGTAGGTAGGTGTTGGGAGTGTTCAACCAGCGTGTCTTCTCTTTTTGCTGCTTCTGAGCATGCTGCCGTAATGTGGAGATAGGGACCCCTTCCTCCTCAAAAACGAAAGCAGTTACAGTGGCTGGGATCTCCACGTCACTCTTGTGCCTTGTCTTTTCTTGCACAAATGGGTGACGGTAAGTATAACCTGTACGGTAACCCTGTTGGAGATAAGAGATTTCATATTTATCCGATAACTCTTTCAGTTGAGCCTAATACTGCTTTTTCTTGTTTTCAAGAAACAGAGAAGAGGGTAAAATGTGTAAGTTTCCATTACTGACTTTCTTCTAAAATTGCTACCTGCCTGGCTTACCCTAGTTTCAATAATTTCTTTATCATGGACCTGAAATAAGTATACAGCATGTGGTATTGGAATGAAGTACGGACTCCTGATTTTAATGCTTGTTTTGTGTCAGTGACTTAGAGAGTACTAAAGTAATTGAAACAGAATTACAGAGAGGCAAATAGTTTTTCTGAATGGAGAGGTTGACAATGGAAGCCTTTTTCTTTCTCTCAACACAGTTTTTTAAAAAACCTAAAACCTTAAAGTGACCTTGTGACAATAGATATGGGCACAAAACAAAATCTGCACATAAAATCCACTATTGCACTCATGGAATTTTCTGAATTGCTTATGAATTAACTTTTTAGAGTCAGTGGGATTCATTTAAGGAAGGCAAATAGGCTCTTCACTTTGCAAGGGAATTTTCCCCAGAGTTTTAAGTGGAACTCCACCCAAAAGCTTTGCTTTAAGGCCTCTTCCCCTGCTCCCCATTAAGAATTGGCACCTTTGGGGAGTGAGCACCCGATATTGACAAGTACCCGTTCCCACTTCCCCTGTGATTACCTAGGGGAGTTGTCCTCCCTTCGTGTAGTCTTCTGGGACATGTGACAGGTCCCAGAAGACTACAGGACCATTTAGAAGGTGCAGCGCTACTCGCCATGCACAGTGGGCACCTGGCTGTGAAACTTCAAGCTGTCAAAGTCGGGTGCCCACACTTAAGATGCCAGCGTAAGGAAGAGAAGATGGCTGGTGAAATCAGCTGTAGTGAGGATACTGCTGGATCGAGGGACAGGTTTTTGTAGCTGCTGACTTTTATTTTTTTACATTTTGACTGGAGCTCCACTTTAATAAATGAGCCAAAACTCTCCTAATCTGCATAATCCAATTGCAAGCAAGCAAAAATGCTGTTTTTTTTTTCTTTCTTTGCACGTATTTGGGTATTCTTTGCAAAGTGAAATTGTACCAGATTTACAAAGCTCTGGAGAACATTCCCCTTGCAAAGTGAACTGCCCAGTGTGTTCATAGGAACATCCCATGCCTATCAAGTAATTGTGGTTGGCCCGGGATAGGTTTGCTCAGACACCAATCATTGCAATAACAGTTAGGGTCATCCCTATACATCACAAACAGAAAGGAAATGCTAGCCTGGAGTAATTTGTCGGACTCTGCATAGTGTTGAATATTCCAACTCGCAGTCAGAGGGGAAAGTACAGAGGTAAGAATAAGAGAAAAGATAATATAAGAAACCTAAAGGAAATATGCAATATGGAGCCTAATAAATTATATATTACATTGTAAATACTCTGTTGTCACTAAAAAATGTCTTCTGAAGCTTATGTACAAGAGTGAAAATCTTCACCAACTGGATGATTGAAAATATTAATATTTATCAGTGGCAGTTACTTAAAAACGGTGTGCAATACAAAGAGTGACCGCGCTATGTGACAATGAATTATTATCAAAACACAATACAAATAACCCAAATGTGACTATACCAACCAATAAAAAATAAATATATGAAAAAAATTACAAACTCCTCACCAAAAATGTTTCAATTATAACATTTTCATTTAGCTTCTCAAATCAATAAGTAAAATGTAAATGTATAATCAAGATGTTATAACCTCAAAAATTCATCACTAAATGGTGCATAAAAAAAGAAAGAAACAAACAAACACATAAATGCATAGACGTGCATATATACCAATGCATAAAATTATGTATATGTCAAAAACAATTAATAAAGTCCATATATAGCAATACACCAAAAATAAAGTTCATACCAAGTGCAAGACGTGCAGTTCATATAAAACACTGTGCATGGATTCATGAGTGCTGTGATACAAAAAAACGTTCCACAGTGCTGTCCCAAATCCTCTGTGATTACCACGTGACCTCTCCCTGAGCACACAGTGTACTCACCAAATGCAGAACAACAGACATCAAACTCAGTCCAAATAATGAAAATGTCACACTGTTTAAATCTAAACCAACACTCGCCAAGTATAAAGTCCTCTCCAGCATAAATGGGGTTAATCTGTCTCTTCCGGTCACATCAAATCACATTTTATCATGCATAAATGAAGAGGAAAATAGAGGTGCCCATGGTGTAAAAAATTTCAACACTTATTAAACATCCAAAATTATTGCACATACTATCAGTGAGTGTTAGCCCAACACTTGTGATTACACGCTCAAACTCTGTAGTACTGTCAGCTCCGGCTGTGTCTCAGAGTGTGTCTCTCACTTTGCAGAATGACGTCACGATCCAAGCCACAACTTACAAGTTTCAGCATCAAGTCGTCAGCTCCAAATTGTTTTTGACATACATGTAATTTTATGCATTGGTATTTATGCATTTATTTATTTGTTTATTTTTCATGCACCATTTAGTGATGAATTTGTGAAGTTATAACTTCTTGATTTAGATAATACATGAACATATCACTATATTGTCTGGCCTCCAACACAGTTATAGCCCACTTAGGTCATTAAGCAGTGACAATGAAAAATATGAGGCTGTTGGGTGAAGCTGTAAGGAGACAATCTAGCAATGTATGCCAAACATTACAAAATGTGCTTCATGGTCAGTATTGTTTCTATAAGCAATTGCTACCTCAGAGGCCTTTGGAAACCAGTAAATAAATCTTATGTTACTGGGTTATTTTTGCCTTTTATCTGTAAAAGATTAAATACAGACTTATAGCAAAAAAAATCCTTCCTAATATTGGGTACTTTGTGCCCATGTTATAATAATAAAAAAATGGATGTATCACTTATCACTTATCTGTACTATAAAGATGATGTTCTTGGCTCCCATCGTATTTAGTCATACGACCATATGCCTAGGCACTTGGTCACAGGACTTAAACCTGGAGAAAATAATGTTTGGGTAGAGACTGGCCAGCTGTACCTGATCGTCAGTCCCTATGCCCTCAAGCAAAAATCATATGGACATAAAGTATGTCAAAGGATAAAGTTACATGACCAACTGCTATGCAGCTTGAAGCAGTTTTTGCAACCCAGGTATTATAGGGCTTTTAATAAATTAATATAATGTGAGGCATACTGGTGAGGGTGTGTTTTTGGTGGAGGTAAGAGAGGGGTGACTAAATGTTTGCTCTAAGTGACTGCAATTTACAAAAAAAAATTGTGCATACTTACCAAATTATCCATCATTCTCATTAAAGCCTCAAACTCATGTTCACCAAGTCGGCTTTTCTGCATTGGCCCAAACTTGCTACCAGCCCAACCAACTGTACCCACCTCATGTGGGCGATATTTATCCCTGTCCAGCACGATGAGGTTCTCTGGTCCTCCTGCACTAGGTACAGCTGATACCTGAAACATAATATTGTTTTTTGTTCAGTTAGTACATACTTGGGTACCTATATGCTTAAGCAATACACAATATATTGTAAAATTACATTGTTAAAGAAATGTTACACTAGGTGATTCCTGACATTGTGTTTAAGATGTAACGAATCATAAAAAGGAAACAGTTTTAAGCAAAAGCAATTTTTTAAGACACCACAATTTTGACATCGAAATGATTTGGTAAAGTACCTGGTAAAAAAGTACCACACATAAAGTATCAACAGCTATAGAGATAAGCACTGCTGACACTTTTCTGACACTCGTGGTTATTCTTAAGATTGTAACAGAAAAATACTGAAGTTAGGGGCACCCAGGCAACTACCAGTTTCAGAAGTAGGCCTGCAATGGCAGCCTCCATATTTCTCTGGAGTTATTTCAGATGTGAGGATGAGGATAAATGTTACAGATAAGTGATAGGCATGCGGAATGGATGATTAAAGAGAAATCTATATTTGAGTTTCTTGTTCCATGTTTAAGTGTGCCAACACTAGGTAAAAACACTGAAAGAAAAAGCCCTGCAAAAAAGACCCGTCAGGCATGCCTCTTGCTTACCTTCTTAACTGAAGCTTTTTCATTCTTTTATAAAACTGCCTGCCCACCTTGGCCCTTTTTATTCACTTAGGTAGGCTGTCTCTGCCTACTTTTCATTATATGCATGCCAAAAATCCCAGAATTGTTTATTTTTCTTACTCCTTATTTGTTGCCACCTTTTTAAAGGGATCCTACCCACTCCCTACAGCTGCCTGATATAGTGTTCAGTTCCTAACTCATGGGTGTGCTGCCAGTTAGACACCTATAATCTGTTTGGCTCTGCTACTGACTTGACTAGCTGTACCTTTGGTTGAGTTCACTGGTCACCATTAACCCAGGCATAATATCCATTGTACCAAAATCCCAGATACACCCAGTTAGTGAAATATTTCAGTTTTCCTGGGCAGTGGCTTGTCTATAGGTGAAGACTGCAAGGTAGATTAGGACATAATGCTTGAACCAAGACCTTTGTCCCACAGCATGAAAAATAAATATGATGACAAGCAGGTCAATGACGGATGAGGAACAGATAAGGTCATATTATTAATTGGCAACTGTGTCCAGATTTGATTCATCAAGGGTTCCGAGTTTATGGACTGGAGACAAATCTTTTTGTTCGGAACAATTTTAGGGCTACTAAAAAAACTACGGCATGGGAAACTGGGCACTGCCATGGGGAACATGCATTTTTGCAATGCAAAAAAAAAAGATGCTTTTTGAAACTGCTGTGTTACTGCTAGTGGCAGATTGCATCATATATGGAATCATTATTTAGCTCATATTTCTTCTTAAATCCCTTCCATGGTTGTAGCATTGCATTACATCATTTTCAGAAATGTTTAATTAAATAATTGTCGGAACGCTATTGGTGTCTTGGTGTCTGAGGGTTATTGTCCTGTTTTACATATATAGATGTAAATGACAGGATAGCCACGGGGGAAACTGCAACCAATAGCATTTGAGACATTTAATGAGATTAAAGAACAGTCCCACTGGGAGGCAAAATGACTTAATCACCATGGTATAATTCATGAGTAAAAGCTGAAGAACCACTGAGAGGAGAACAAGCACTAGAAATACTTGATTTAATAGGATAAAAAACTAGTAGCAAAGGGTCAACTTCCCCAGACTACAAAAGCTAGCTTAAAATTCTCCAATGTCATAAACAGACCAATTGAAGGGTCATTTTTTTCTATGAGAATGGAATTCTGTTCCCTGCTCTCTGGTCTTGGTGAATCTGTAAGCCACTCAGCTCAGTAGTTCACGTTTATTTTTCAGAAACATTATTCTGGATACAATATTTAGACATGCATGCCAATATATAGGCTGGTGTTTAATAGCAGCTGGGTGTCTCTAACTGTAATGTCTTTTTATTAACTATGGCGCAATTTTTAAGCCTATTTTTAATGATTTTCTAAAGCTTCACTCCAGCTAGAATGTTTCTCTTAGTTTTGAATAGAGTGTGGAATGGTTAGAAGCTCTATGAAGAACCATGGTCAATAGTTCTAAAAACGTTTGGGTTGCCCTTCTAAATAAGACGGTGGAAAATATCCATACGCATATCCAACTTTTGAAATAAATATTGCATGAGTTATTTTAACTCAAAATTTAATGCAGTATTTATCTCTCATTTAATTGACCCCAACATCACAGACAGAAGCCTTGTTTTTTCTGAAAAAAAAAACAAAAAAACGATAAATGTACTTACTGGGAATCAATAGCAGAAATGCATAAATTGCTCTGGTCCATATGAGATAACGTAGCAGAAGGCTGTTTTGCAATCTGACAATGCTATCATATATACGTATGTATTATGTTTGCAATGCACATGGATAGGCTTAGTGAGATCCATTCATCATTGATTCATATAGACTGTATTTACCTGAATTTCACAAGCTGCCTGCAAGTGGAAAATCTTATAGAAAGCTTCCTCCACAGATTCGCCTAATGCCACAACACCGTGATTTCTCAAAACCAGAACCTGTGTAGGGTGACATTAAAAACAATCTTCTGTTAAAAGGACAAGGCTGATAACAAAGAGTATGGTAAATTCAGAGATTTGCATAGCTGATGCAAGGACAAAGATATGACCCAACCTTGCATGTTGGTCCCAAACATTTCTGTAGTTCAATTCTGTCCTTCTCATCTTCCATATCTCCATTGAAGTCATAGTATACCACCTCCCCTGCCAGCAAAGCATCATGAGAGATAGGCAGGAGGCCACACTTCATTGCTGACACCTGCATTAAAAAAGGGCTATTAGTCAAACAAAATGTCTGCATTCCTAATGCTGCAACCATTTCAATGCTCTTCAATGTGTCACACTGATTTTACCGCAGTGGTAGCCGCTGTATGTAGCTGGATGATACACTTTACATCCGGCCGTGCTGAGTAGATGGCAGAATGCAAACTGAAGTCACTAGTTTCCACCTCAAAGCTGGTGCTGCCGACCTCTACAACCTCACCCAAAATGTTCACCTTCACCTGTAACAGATATTGCATAAGATGGTTTTGTTCTTTTGTATGTGCAGTTCAGTAACACATTTTACAAAAGCAGAATTTCTATTCTGTAATTTGCCGACTTATTGTTCAAATAGTTTTTTGTTTTTTATCATTCACTACTGCGATTTCTCCTGTATGGACCATCAAGCTGCATTGCAGGAGAGTGGGAAAATCACATCATTCTCTATGGGGTCAGTTTACATCAATACAATATGTCACAGTTTTTTTTTAAAAGCTGCAGTTGTTTCTTATGGTGTGACATTGTACATTTGACCCCATGGACTTCAATGGTAGTGCAAGAAAAATGCATACTTTGAAAACAAAGAAAAGTTTCCCAGCACACCTACCAGCTAGCCTGCAAACAAACCAAAGGGTTTTGTTGCACACATTTGCAAATATATGTGGAACCTGCAGTGCCTACACCATGGCTGCTCTGTATACTGTACTATATACTCAATATTTTTAGAGTGAGGACCGCAATATACAGAGGAGCCTTGGTGTAGACACTGCGGCTTCTACATATATTTGCAAATGTGTAAAATGAAATTTGTCTTTATTAAGTTTTACAACTGAATATACAGAAGGAAAAAAAAAAAAAAAAGGACCAGCGATTACACATACATACAGATAATCAGCAGGCTCAAGCATGAGATGAGCCAAAGAGATAACTGCAGTCAGCAAGTATAACTAGCCAAATTATAAAAATCTTGATAAATTACAGGTATATAACAGAGACATATATTTGAAAGAACTGTCCCATAAAACTGTCCCATGAAGAACATCACTACATGTCCATGTAAAGTTCACCATATAAAACAACTTAGAGGAGAGAGAAAAGAAAAAAAAAAAAAAACTAAAAAGGGAGAAAAATAAGAAGGAGTGAACATAGAAGGAGAGGGAAGATAGAAGACAGTCAGGATCTGGGACAGACAAGGGGCGGAACCAGAATGGCCCCACTCCAAAGGGACCCAGAGTTGGCATCCCAAACATACAGATCGAAAGCAAGTACACTGATATGATACAGACCACCGTGGATCCACCCGACCTAACGGGCAAAGTCTAAAGAGGCACAGTAGGAGCAACTCCTGAAGAGTCGAGAAGGAGGAAAAATGGAGCCAGACCGAGCATAGTAACTTATGTTTTTCATAGGTATCATTGGAAAACGCCAACATCTCTCTTCCGTTCTCATGATATCATTATCCGCAGAAACCCACAACTGTAAGGGGGGGGGGGGGTGGCAGATTTCCAGAAAAGCGGTATCAATTGGCATGCCGCAGACAGTAAAAAACATAATAAACATTACTTCTGTGCCACCAGCGAGCCAGATAAGATAGAGAGAAGGGCAATCTCCATTGATGAAGTCAAGGACTAACCCTCTATTTTTAATGTGAACTGTTAGACGGGGTCAGATTGGTTCATTTGCAGGTTAGCTGATAAGTTTGCTGGGAATGGTATGTTTGTTTGTGGTGTATGTTGCCCTTCCATGTATACTTTACTGTAAAGACTAGTCATAAATTGGGGTGATGGCCATCTTTTTCTATAGCTAAAACGCATACTCTGACATACTTTTGGTGGCTTTTTGACAGAGCTTTGTACTTTATAACCTCTACAAGAAGCATGAAAATGCATTAAAAAAACATGTAAAAATGCAAAATGCATCATTATGCAGCAGCACTAGTGTAAACCTAGGCTAAGGCTAGGCTCACACTAGCCTGTGTGGTAAAATGCAGTGTTTTGGTCAGTGTTGGCTGTGGCAGGTAGCGATATGCTTTGCACTGCTTACCTGTTTTTTTCTCTTTTAACTTTATTTGAAGTGTCACATAGGGACACTTCAAGTCTCTGCAAAGCAGCTCGGTGCACTGTGTTACTGTGCAGTGCCATGTGGTGCCATGCAGTGCACTGTGTAAAAATGCTACATTTTTTTTGCACTGCACATCACACTACCATTGTTATATACACATCACACTAGCATAGTTATTAACAATTGTTATCTATGTGCCCTAGCAGTGGCCTGCGTTTACTTACTGTGGAAAACTGCAGTAACTTACTGATCCCCCGCTGAACAAGCAGAGCAAGTGGATAACAGGTCTGTGTCTGCTTCGCTGATGCACAGCGGACAAAGATACAGCCTGCTCTTTTCCATGGGGTGGTTGGATTGAAATGAACCACCTGTCCATTTCCATCCAACTGTCATCCGATCTGATCCACTAGACGGAGGGGAATGGATCCACAGCCGTCTGTTTTTAGCGTACAGGATCGGATGCTGGTGGGTGTCAGCGGACACATGTCCGCTGACATCCGCTGCTCCATAGAGAGCTATGGAGGATCTGATCGGGCCCGCCTGAAAAACTGACCCAAATCGGACCATCTGTGTGAAGGGGGCCTAGAGTGTGAATGAGCCCTAAAGGTTTCATTACATGCTAAAAACACCACCGTTTGTTGCATTTAGTACACAGATGTCAAGTCACAAAGACTATCACATGGGTGTTCACTCCTAAAGACATCTCTAGCTTCTGGATAGTACTAAGGTCCAGAGGGGAGCAGAAAAACTAATGATTTAGGTGGTGATAAAATATTGACTTGTTTAAAATAATGTACTTATTTAGGAGAAAAATTGGCTTTTTGGAAATTAGGGCAATATTTCAAAAGAAAACTAAAGATGTTACACCGATATTTAATTTTGTGAATCGCAGAGTTGTAAAAGCTATCATGAAATACAATAACTAATGTAACATGAATTTGAAGCTCAGAAATAGGAAGCACCTGTGAAATGACCAATCAGCCAACAGCCAATCAAGGCAGGGAAGTGGGACCTATTGATAACTTGTCTGTTTAGAACAATAGTGGGGGCTGATTGTTAAGCTGGGTATACACTAGTAGAATTTCAAACAAACATTCTTAGGAAAATTTGCATGAAAATTCCCAGAACATTCAAATGGCATTTGAAAATAGTTAATTTTCAAGATCTAATTTGCTTCTAATATTCGATTTTGGAAAAAAAAAAAAACACATTCAATATTGGAAATTTATACATTTGAGAAAAAATTTCCTTCCTGATCCTTCTAATTTTCTCATCACTGTGGTCACAACAAATGTCAAACACAATTTTACTAGTGTACAGACAGCTTTACAATCATGTTTTCCTTGAAAGGAAGAGTTTTTATTAAAAATATTTGTATGAGAAATAACAAATGTCAAAGTCACACATTTGTACTCACAAGGATAGAAGCAGTCACTTCATTACAAGCTACTCCTCGGGGGTTAATTAAGAAATGGTCCTGTTCCTTATTCACTCTTATCTGAAATGAGAGGATATATACAAACGTGAGATAATATGACCGGTAAAAGACAAGCTGTACGATATTAAAGCAGTATTACAACTTACAATACGTGTATGGGTGTATAACCAATGATTTTTTGTTATGGAGAGTGTAGGACTTAGTTAAAACTAAAAAGTTAATTTGTTGCTGCCTGTGTCCTGTTGGGGAGATTTCCTTTTAATTCCTGTCTCAGAGATGCAACAAGAAGTGAGGCAATTTCTACATAGATGAAGGAATTCCCCTCTTAAAAGAATTGTCATCAGAATGGGAAGCTCCAACTGGAAGATTGCTCCACTATTCCTGTTCTGGTGACTACTATAAAAATTGGAATTTACCTTCACTTGGTCTCAGTGACATGGGTTGCCAGGACAAATAGAGAGGGAATCTCCTCAGAGTGGAAACAAATAATAAAAACCTTACAGGGGTTCTAATCCTTCCCTAACATCAAAAACAGGAAAAGACATGTAGGCTTTATATACTTTTTTTTTTATGTATAGCCAAGGTGTTGTTTTTGTTTGATTTGTATTCAGTGGTGGTTATTTTCTAAAACTGCATGGTACAAAATCTGGTGCAGCTCTGCATAGAAACCAATCAGCTTCCAGGTCAAAGCTTAACTGAAGAAGCTAAAGTTAGAAGCTGATTGGCTACCATGCACAGCTGCACCAGATTCTGAGTGCACCAGTTTTAGCAAATCTTCTTCGGTGTTCTAGAGCTAAGTTCACCATAGATAGATTGAATGTTGTCTGGTTCAGCAGGAACTGGCTGAATTTCGATTCATCTATGGCTGTTCCCACTCAACAAAAGTTAATTTAACGATCGATTTCTGTCAAGCAGGAATGTTGGAAAATTTGAATTCGATCAATTCCTGCAGCACTGGCCAGTGTATTTTGACAGCAGAGCTGTCCCTGCTGTCAGAATACAATACCACAGTGGAGAGGATTCCTTTGTCCACTTTGCTTGTGTGGATGGTGGCTGATCGAAAAAAAAAAATACTATCTATCAGGTGGCGGACTGACAACTCATGGGGCCCCTGGGCAATAGGGAATCATGGGGCCCCTGTGTCCTTGACAAACTCAAAAAAGCCTATGAAAAAGGTACCAGGGGCATCTCATGGGGCCCCCTACTGACCCCGGGCCCTCGGGCAGTGCCCGAGTTTCCAAATGGTCATTCCACCCCTGCTATCTATGACCAGCCTTTCACCTGCTGTTTTTGTCTCTGATGGGGAAATTTCCCCTCTCTTGGAGTCACCAGAACAAATAGAAAAATTAATTTTTGAAGGCAGACTTTTCAGGCTGAATTAATTTGCACATAGGGAAAGGTAAACATTTAGGGGACACTTACCATCCATTCTGCAATACAACCAAATTGACTTGTCTAACAGTTTATGTTAAAAACAGAGGGTTGTGTTTGCACACATTTGCAAATATATGTGTAAGCTGCAGTGCCCATGTCAAGAGACCTCTGTATATACTAAACCTTCTGTTTTTAACATAAACTGTTATGTCAGGGCAATTCAGTTGTTTTGCAGGTTGGCTGATAAGTGTGCTGAGAAATATTTTGGTTGTTTGCGATGTGCGTTGCTCTTCCTTGTGCACCTTGCTGTAAAGGCTTGTTATAGATTGGGGTGGGTGCCATTTTTTGTAAAGTTGATTAAATTGGATGCAGGGATGATATTGCTGGACATCATGTGCATCCCTGTGCATCCCTGTGAGCTTCCTCCAGGCACACCTGCCCTCAACTTATCCATTGATATATGTGCTCATACTATGGAGGCTCTGACAATTATGGAGCTAGGACCTCAGTATATGCAAAGGTCCCTTGATGTGGGCACTGTGGCCTACGCATATATTTGCAAATATGTGCAAACAAAACCCTTTGTTTTTAACGTGAACTGTTGGGACAGGGCAATTTGGTTGTTTTGCAGGCTGGCTGGTAAGTCTGCTGGGAAATCCTTTGTTTGTTTGAAATATTTAGGGCAGCTTAAAACCAATGCATGGTATGTTACAACCCATGTTGAAACATGTTTGATATGGACATTGCACATGTGTTTTGAGGGTGCTCTCATTCATTTCTAATGGGCTTCAAAAGAACACCAACACAGTGAACAAGGCACCTGAGCCTTCATCACACCGCAATGCATACATGCAAATATAAATTCACAGTGTTCAGTTATGTTTTTAGGTGTGGATGGTTATTGAGGACACATAGGTAATGAATGGGCAGATGCAATACAACATGTGTCAGTATGGGAGATAACAAGCACACATAGGTGTAAATGGACCCTAAATGTTGTCCCTGGTTGAAAAGAACCCTTTCAGGATAGACATGTGGAACTGCCACCGCTGATGTATTTTAGCGTTGTGTGCTCCATTGCTGTCATCATCATCCTTGAATCACTAGCTGGTGAATATAAGTTCTCCTGACAGCCCCAGAGCATGTACCCTCAAAAATAAATCAGCAACAGCATCTTTCATATTTCTATCCTGACAGATGACCTATAATAAAAAAAAAAAAAAAGCAATGTGAAAAAAAACATGGCAACCATTTAGCAATTATCTTTTATTATACTGAATGCTCTAATTTGATGAAAGGTGACCTTTGTTGTTCCTCTTTGTTGCATTGTTCTTTGCCCTGATTGCCACTACAAAACAGGTCAATACAATTTTCATAATGCTAATGAGCATTCATAGGAAAAGGTTCTCGAGTTCTATGCAGAATAAATGGACAGCATGCTATCACAATTAATTATAAACTTTATACATTTTCACGGAAAGACCAAGCAACGTGAAAGCTTTATTGATCTGAAACCTTTCCTGGAAACATCTAATAAATACAAGACATGCTGCCAGAGTTACATCACTGTTGCACATAAACACACCTACACTTTATATTTACATCACAAATGTCACACAAAGATGTAACTAAAATCTTACCAGGAATTTAGGCTAAAATCTTCTTTTGCATGCAGGACCATGTGCAGCAAACTGTGTTTAAGCACTAAATTAATTGATGACATTACTACCCCAACAATAAGGCAAAGCAATTGAGGATCGAAGGAAAGTCCAGACAAACACCCACTGCTTTCAATGACTGCTGCAGAAACACAGCTGAAAATTGCTAGGGACCATCAATGGCATAACCAATGACCAAAAGTATTCCATGGTCCATAGTTTGAGAAAAACAGTTTTATATTTGTCATCCCTTTGGCCATTCCTAGTTTCTATGGGGTTAGGGTATATTTGGCCACTAAAAATGTGTTACCTTTTGGGGATTTTATTAGGTTTTGATGCTCACAGAGTGTATAACTAAAGAAAGCAAAAATTATATAACAGAAGTGACTTACAGAAGCAATGGTCCCCCTGAGTGGAGACCACCCATACAGGTCTATGAGTCTGTGATGCTGGCAAGCTTACATCTCATTAACCTCTCACCCTTTGCCAGAGGCATGGACTCATTGCAGTGGAGGTCATTAACAGGTGCCACCATGGATGAGCCTGAAAAATAAAGTTACAGTTTGTTTGAACATGCCTGGCTCGACAGAAGTACAAATTATCTGGCAGATAAAACATCTTCTATATATGCATGTCAACTGTGTATCTAGTTGCTTGCCTGGACCTCAACTTTAAAGGCTTGTTCACACTAGACTGTATGCTGAAACAATCGTTTTAGTATATGGACTAGAGTCCCTCCTATGCCAGTGGTGGGAGGTGGTGGAGCCTTGTGGGTATAACGCAAGATACTACAAGATACTATTTACTTTTTTTTTTTTTACTTTGTTGAAATGCCAATAGGACATTTCATTTACAGTGGACAGCACTGACATTAGGTGTTTTATGAAATGCAGTAAAATGCAGCATGTCTGTTCTTTTCCAGAATGCAGTGAAAACCACCTGAAGGCAATGTTGTAGTGTAAACGGGCAAATAGAAAACAATTGTTTTCTATGTACCCTTGCGGTGAATTGTGTTGACCAAGTGCAGAATAACAATCCCTAATTCATAACAGCAACTTTGTCTGATTTTGTAAATAATGTACATAAGGTAGCAAACTGTGTTGCAGCTGACTTAAAAGCAAGAATTATACCATGTCTACTAAGCTAATGATGACAGATCAATGATTACAGTCCCATGATGGATCTTGCTGTGTGGTCACCTGGGGGGCAGGAATTCCATGCTCCTTTGGATTGCATGACCAGTTCACTTAGTGGCTTGGACTTTCTGGCAAAACTAATCAATCCACATCAGAAACCTCTTGTTGTGCTCACTTTCATGTGCATGTGCATAAATGTGCACGTTTTCAGGCATGGAAGCCTAACTAAGCATGCAAGAATGTGAACACGCACAATGGCATGCATGTAGACACATGGGCATGTCCATCGCAGATTCTGGTGCCTAGTGAATTATTTAAAACTTGAGACCTTCATGGCATCACTGCTGGATGGTCTTCCAGCTTATTCCCTTGTTATGCTTGACTGTGTTCCTGACCCCGGCTTTGTCTGACTTTCTCTGGATTACCCTTGCCTGTTCATGTCTGCTGCTCATCTGTGTTACCGACCTTCGCTTGGACTTTTGACCAGGGTTCTGCCTGCCCTTCTCTGACCTGGAATCTGTTTGTGGTTTGGTGCCTCTCTGCCTGGTTGTTACTGAATTTGGCTTGTGACCTGCCTTCATGATTTTGCTCATCTGACCTCAGTACTTTCCAGTTCTAGTTCTGTGGTCCAACTTCCTGGTACTGAACCCTTCCATTGCCCTAGTACTTCCTTTTTTCCACTTTCGGGGTGCTCGGATGGGATTTAAGGAGATTTATATTTCCCTACACATGATTAGATGTTGATTCCTATTACATTAGCATTTAAGTAGGCTCTTCAACTTTATCGGGAATAACTGACATTGCTTGGCCACACCTCTGAGGAGCAAGATACAGTATATTTAGGGTGTAACATGTAACATGTTGCAAATGGAACCCCTACCCCTAAACCGCTCTCCTTGTGACAGCATGCAGGGATTCTTCTCCCTGACAGCAGCCACTTTTTGCATTTCGTGGATGCCACTGTGGCAGACAGGCTTGTAGTTCTCTATGGAACACATGTGCGGTAATCACCACACTCGTACTCCAATGACATTTCATCTAGCTCTCTAACTGAAAGTTTGTACCTCAGTTCTGACATAGAGCTAGAGGAACAGTCTGCAGGAGCCTGTCATTGCACCCACAATTTAATGATTGCGGGTGCAATGCTTTGCAGGCTGATTTGCAAAACAACCCCAAAATGTGCATTTTTAACTAACAAACCCAGCAGGTCTATATTAATCATATATTTTATAAATTGAGAATCAGTAGCTTTAAACAGAGAAATTAATAAACATTGTACTGAACATTGAAATTACTGTTAAAAGAGACAATTTTTGATCACACAAATGGAGTTATTTAAGGTAATATTTGCAGTCCCATCCTATTTTCTACAGAAACATATTTTCCATTCTATTAATTTTGGCTAAGAGAAGACTGCAGGCTATGCCCTCATCAGCAGCCTCCGAATACACAAAGTAAAGACACTCACTGACTGGACAGGTGGGGAAGACAGATGGTGCAGTGCTGGCCATGAAGTCAGCAATTTGCCGGAGGGCCCAGATATTGGATGAGTTGTTCCCTTTCTTCATCTGTTCCTGAATGAGACTTTCCAGCTCCTCCCTGAAGGACTGAGAGAGCAAATGTATAAATATATATACAAAATATATAACATTGCTGCAAGATGAAACACAAAGGGACCGATTCCATAATTTGTAGTAAAGTACAGCAATCAATGGCAACCACACGAAAATGATCATTCTATCAGAAAAAAGCAAGTTAAGTCTAATTATCTGTTATGGGTTCACTTATTCTGTACTTTAATATTAAATAGCCTTTTACATTGCCTCAGTGGATTAGCTTACATATGTTTTTATTTATTAATGTGAAAATCATAATGTATAATGGTCAAATTCTCAACTTTATCTTACCTTTTGCAGTTTAATTTTGCTGGACTAATGCTTTTTGAATGGTTGTTATACAGTATATTATGACAATTGTTTTTTGCTATAATAAATTATTAGTTTTCAACTTTTAACTCATAATATAAGTAAATATTCTTGTACTGTTTAAAAGCCATTTAATGGTGCATTATACCTAAAAATATAAATACTTTACTTGATGTCTACCCTGTAATGCAAACACTACTACTGTTAGCTACTGTATGTAGTTGGTGAGCTAAAGGCAAAACTTTTTTTTTTTCGTTTAATTTTGGATAGGGTAAGGGAGGGTTGAAGTTCCCTACATTGTTTTTTCCATTGGTGTGCCATTGGGAAGATTTCCCTTCACTCTCTGTTCCTTAGTCAAAACAGGAAGTTAGCCCGATTACCTCTATTCCTAACCTTTATTTAGACCTGAAATCCTTCTCCTCGATATCTGGTCTTTGCATTAATCATCACAAATCTCAAGTGATGAACATTTCCTTGGACATGAGAAAGGTCCAGGCCATCTAAAACACCTTCCCTTTTAAATGGCAACCGGTTGCTCTCCCCTACTTAAAAATAAAGTTGACCCCAAATTTTCAAACTCTGTACAAACAGAATTTCCCTCCACTATATAAAACAGTATCTGAAGATATGAGCCGCTGGTCAGATTGCCCCCCATTATGGTTCAGCAGACTGCACTTGCTCAAAATGAATGTGTTACCTAGATTGTTATACCTTTTTAGGACACTTCCAGTGTCTATAAATATATCGGACCTAAAGACGTTTCAAAGCTAAGTATCAGCGTACATCTTGGGAAATAAGAGACCTAGGGTGAACAAAAAAACTCTTCATACCCCTTGGCCACAAGGGGGACTGCAGGTCCCTGATCTGCTGTGTTATCACGCAACTCAGATAGCATTCCTAATCATTTACCATACGAAACACAGCTGCCCCGTTTGGAAACGGCTTGAATCTTCAACTATACTCACAACTCTAGTCTCCCATTTAATATGGCTCCCATTCAAAGCTTGTCCTCCACTCCTATGCCCCACTGTATCCTTCATAATGGGGGACAAACAAAGGGCTATTACGTATAGCATATTTTTATGATCATAGAGAGATCAGGACCATCCACTTTCTTAAAGAAAAAATATGATTTGATCTCCCACCGAATATTATCGTTATACCCAAATAGTTAATTTCGTATCCTCGTTAAAACGGGGTTCCAATCTCACAACTACTACCACTATGAAACATTTATGTTTGAATATTGATAAATGCTCAAGTTACATTTCAAAGGTATACAGTATCCTGTCCTCTCATGATGGCAAACTTCCCTATATGACCAGATGGGAGCAGGATATGAATGAGTCCCTTGAACCTGCAGAATGGCACAAAGTAGCCCAAGGAGCAGCCAAAGTGACTTTGAACACATCCCTAATTGAGGCCAACTACAAAGTCTTACTAAGGTGGTACATGTTTCCAGCCAGGATAGCCCAGTGGATACCAAATGCTTCCTCAGGTTAGCTGATAGCCCCCTTGAGCTGCGGTGACAGCTCGCTGATTCTCCTTTATCCCTTTTCTTTCTCTTATTTGACTCCTCCTTCCCTATTTTTTCATCTTTACCTCTCATCTGTTTATGATCTGTCAGCTGTCTTGGAGGGGGGATCGGGACCACGGGTCAATAGACGGATCCCCCTAATCCCCTTCTGGGCGGCTGGAGCCCACGGGATAGGACCTCAAGGCCAGTGGGTGCTGGGAACCTCCCCCATGTTCCAGATGGGGGAACTCGGCGTGAGGAGATCCCATGGGAGACTTAATGAAGATAGTTAAGAAACATACAAGTTTAGCATCGTCAACATATTGTGCCTTGATACCCTTCTTATATTTTTTCTGTACTGCTTTGTACTTATGTGTACTATGGTGTTGTAGAACAAAAAAACAGAAACTCAATAAAAACGAATGGAAAACAAAACAGGAAGTTAGAGGAAATCCCTTAGAGGTGAGCAAATCCCTGTTTGTCACCAGGGTCACCAGAAGTAGTGTCTCCATTGGACGATCAGCCCTCTGTTCCTGTTTGGGTGACAAGCTAAATTTTGTGATTTTCTTTCACTGATAATGGTGAACAGGACAATTGAGAAAGTGAATCTCTCTAATAGGAACACAGACAGCAATAAAACCTGACAGGTGTTCTAATCCCTCTCCACTCTGTCCAAAATTAAAACAAAAATTGTCTTTAGTCATGCTTTAAAGTGGTTCTGAAGTCTAAATGTTTTTTACCCTAATACATTCTCTGCATTAAGGTAAAAATTATCCCACTACTTGTCCTACCCACTCCTGTCCCTAAACACTTACCTGACTCTGGTCTCCGCTCCAGCACTGTCTTGGCTGAAGCACAGCTCCCCTCACTTCTTGTTCTTACAGGAGACACTGTGGGCAGGGGGGTCTATAGATTCCTGCTGCTGTTAGTCAAACTCCTGTGAGAAGGGAGGCGAGGTTTACCAATGCTGCGTGTGTCTATGGAGGCACACACTCCGGCTTGGGAGCATGCACTCACGGGTGCCTCCTTAGCAAACAGCTTAATAAGGAGGCACCCAATGGAGGGGAGGAGCAGACAGAACTGGTGGGTGACTTCCAAAAGAGGAGGTAAGGGACTTTTCTGTACAATATTGTTGCATAGAGCAGGTAAGTATAATCTTTTTTTAAATTCAGCCTACAAGGAGTTCTAGAGTAAGGATATGGTCCATTGTAGAGGAGAGATATCTTCAGACATGCACTGATAACAATGCAGAAGGATATCCGCGGGAATGGGGATTCCAGCACATTAAGGAGGAACATTTTTTAATTCAACCTAAAAAAAAAAAAATAAGTATTCCGTATCATTTTAGGAAGAGCCCCAGGTAATATAACTGGGAAAGACAATAGGAGGTAAGTATATTGTAAAGGCACTGCAAGGCTCCTGTCACAGATTTCATAGAACTATATCTAAAACAGGACAGCACAGAGGTAAGTGTAATTAACACATTAAACTTGCCATCCTCTGTCCTTATAATATCTTGAGTTCTCTGTTATCATGGGTTTTTGCAGGATTAAAAAGGAAGTATTTCAACTAAATCTAGAGACATAAGCCCCAATCCCTTGATTTCTTCTCCTCATGTCATTGGGGCAGGAAGAGGGGGAAAGTCCACCCAATACAGTCAAAGACAGAAAGAACCTAACATAATTTCTAATTCTTTCCCACTCTCTTCATAACTAAAGATAAAGTTTGGACCTAAAATACAAGGAGCAAACAAAAAACAATATTTTTTTTACTTTCCCTTCCATTGATATTACTATGTATATTCTGTGTCCACTCACAGGGCTCTGCAGGATCATGGTCACTCGTTTCTTTTGCTCCATGACATTGAAATCCTGCCTGAGGTCAGCCGCCATGTTTCTAATGCGCAGATATTCTGGGTCATCTTCTGAACAGCGGTCAAAATATCTCTGCCCAGTTGAGGGAGGTGAGGATACAAGCTCGGGGGTAGTTTGGCTACTCATCTTTGTTGTTCACTTTGATCTCCACTGCACATCAATCCTGTGAAGAAAGATTCATTATAGCAAACACTGTTCTTTACTCCATCACAAACACTGCAAGAAAAAAAATGTAAAAACATACATTTGGTATTTTTTGGCCGTAAAATGATATGCAATATACAGTATACTGTATGTGAATTGATAGTGATGATCAGGATATGCAGTTGTATAATACGATAATAACATTTCGTTTTATTGTGTAATAAACCTTTTATTGTGTAAGTGCTGCCTAACATACCCTGTTAGAGCTTAAAAGAAGACTGTTGGCAGATGCCTCTTTAGTTCCTCTTAGATTGGCATGTTCCCCCACCAATCTATGTTGGAGTTAGGAAGAAGATTGGCAGATTCCCCACCATTCTTTGCTAGAGTTGGCAAGAAGACTGGCATGTGCCCACACCACTCCCGTTTTGAGTTGCGAAGAAGACTGGCATGTGTCCCCACCATTCTGTTACAGTTGGGAAGAAGACTGGCAGGTGCCTCAACCATACCCTGCTAGACCTGGGAAGAAGACTGGCATGTTCCCCCACCATTCCCTGTTGGAGCTAGAAAAAAGACTGGCATGTTCCCCCACCATTCCTTGCTAGAGTTAAAAAGAAGACTGGCATGTGCCCCCACCATTTCCTTGTAGAGTTAGGAAAAAAACTGGCATGTGCTCCCACCATTCCCTGTTGGAGCTAGAAAAAAGACTGGCATGTTTCCCCACCATTCCTTGCTAGAGTTAAGAAGACGACTGGCATGTGCCCCCACCATTCCCTTGTAGAGTTAGGAAAAAAACTGGCATGTGCTCCCACCATTCCCTGTTGGAGCTAGAAAAAAGACTGGCATGTGCCCCCACCATTCCCTTGTAGAGTTAGGAAAAAGACTGGCATGTGTTCCCACCATTCCCTGTTAGAGTTGAAAGAGAACTGGCATGTGCCCCCACCCTTCTCCTTTAAGTTGGGAGGAAAACTGATGTGCCCCCCTAACTCTGAGCTGAGAAAAAAGACTGGCATATGCTACTGCCATTCACCATTAGATCTAGAAAGAAGACTAGGTAAAGGGATGAAGTAGGACATCTTTATTTATTTTAAGGCATATTAAAAAAAATGCACTATTAATGCAAGCAGATTTACATGAGCAAAAACATTTCAAGGATATCTGTACTTAGGAAGCATATAGATTGCTATTGCTGACCTCAGTTTTTGGAAAATAGTAGCTCTCTCGTATGAAAAGATAATAGTGCCCAAGCTGTTAATGGCCATGTAGAAGTCTATGGGGAATGACTTTGCAGGCCAGCGGAAAGGGAGATTTTGGCCTGAAGCTATAAAGATTCCTTCAGGATGCAGTTGTCCAATTCAGTTAAGTATGCATCTCTAGAGGGAGTTAGTAAAAGTATACTTATCCTTTCAATGTTTTCTTCAGTATGACACCTACAGCTTTGAACTGTGGCCTTTATGAGTAGGATACACAGGTAATTTTTAATTTCTAGCATCATAATATATATCTCTATTGAACACTGACGTAGTTGTTGAAAATACATGAACAATGTATTCCAACATGCCGGCCTAGTCTTACACAGACTGGGAAACTGAGGATACACATTCTACTTTACAAACCTATTACAGACTGGCAGCAAATAAGCTTTACAGCAAGGGACTGTGGGAAATGAACCTATTTTTATGAAATTATTGGTTGCTATGAGTTACTACATATTCCACATCACCAGGGGTCTATCCATTATCCTAATGAATGATGCCCGTAGTATTATTGTTGTTGTTATCATTAAAAGAACACTGGGATGACTTCCTATACTGAGAGCTGTAAAGGAGATTGTATGATGCTATACTAGCCTTGTTCTGAGTGCATTACCTCCTCTGACATGGCTTCAGCCCTTTCTGGTCCAAGCACTTAGCACAATGATGCTGATGAGCCTCTGAATGCACCCTCCCAGCTCTATCAGAATGGTCTGCGGAGAGGATTAGTGCCTGTCAGATCAGTCTGCTGTCCCAGAATTGCACATCCCCACGCGATTAAAGTGCATGCTTCAGCACATCAAATTATGCTATAAATCTAACATTGAGCTACTGGCACCAAGTTACCAGCTCTGCTGAATGCGCTGTCTGCAGTCAGGCCTGAGAAATTAACCCTTTTCCTGTTGCCCTGTGTGAAACTAGTTCCTCAGCCAATAAAAAAAATCAACCTTATGGCATAAAGTGAACTCAAGCCCAAAATTCAATTTAGATTTAGATGGGTTTATATAATAGATTTTTGCTCAAATGTGTTTAAATGCTGGTATAAAAAATTTACATTTGAAAAAAACACCTGTTTGGAACTAAATATATATGATAACATTGTGACCTTGGATTAAAGTGGAACTATGGGCAAAGTTAACATGACCTCAATTGTGCAGCCTTTTACTTGCATAATCTAGTCTTTGTTTTTCACCCTGTTACATAGTGGGGGTTTTTTTTTACCTGTTGATCCTACCAGTATATTCCTTATGTTTCCACTTTCCTTAAGAAGGTGATAACAGTGTTTGTTCTGCAGTAATATTGTGCAGCACCGTTCTCACCCACTGGACAATGCAGCCTTACATTGACATGTACATTCACTGGCCACTTTATTAGGTATGTTTTAGTCTTGGACTTAATCATCCAGTGCTTATCTGTTCCTGTCCAAAATTTATGACGCTGGCCAGCTTGTGGAATGTGCGCACATAAAGAAACTCACACTGACACGTTTGGTCTGTGAAAACTTCTCTCTAATTTATTGAAATGAAACCGTGAGTTTATATATGAAAAATGATGCGAACATCACGTGATAACAGCATAAGCATTATATTAGTCTTTGATTGGTCACTTTACACGAAAACAATCTCCGTCATGGTATAGGTGTGATCTTCTTCAGTCTTATCTTAAGAAGAGAAAAACATTCTTTTTGTCTTCCAAATCACACGATGGGAGGGGGTCTGTTCCTGTGAGCAAATATTTCTTAAGCAAGGATTTCTTAAAGTACCACAAAGCCCAGCAGGCAGAAAATATTCACACAACATATGTATTAAAGTATAAAAGTAATATATTATAAAACTTATAGAAATAGCGTTTATATATATATATTCAATAGGAAACGAAATAGGCATTTTACCAAATCCATCACAGGTACACCTTGCTAGTATTGGGTTGGAGCCCCTTTTCCCTTCAGAACGGTCTTAATTCTACCTGGCATAGATTCAACAAAGTGTTGGAAACATTTCTCTGAGATTTTGGTCCATATTGACATGAGTTACTGCTGCCTTTCTATCATCTCAAACCAGTCTGCCCATTTTCCTTTGACCTCTGTCATCAACAAGGCATTTTCGTCCACACAACTGCCGCTCACTGGATATTTGCTCTTTTTTGGACCATTCTCTGTAAACCCTAGAAATGGTTTTGTGTGAAAATCCCAGTAGATCAGCAGTTTTTGACCAGCCCATCTGGCACCAAGTCAGTTAAATCCCCTTTCTTCCTCATTCTGATGCTCGGTTTGAACTTCAGCAAGTCATCTTCACCATATCTAGATGCCTAAATGCATTGAGTTGCTACCATGCGATTGGCTGACTAGCCATTTGTGTTACAAAGCCATTGAACAGATGTACCTAATAAAGTGGCTGGTGAGTGTAGTTTAAAATGGATTTTCTGTAAGCAATAAAAAAAATTAAAGTCTAACTCCAGTTTGCTATCACTTTAAATCTGTGCTGGTCAACTTGAAAATTATAAAGAGACTCCAGAGGGCCGCACAATAGAAATAAAAGCAAACCTGAACACGCAAAGTTTTTGTTCCTGCTGCATTTTTTATCATTGTATGCCAATACATTCTGAAGAAGTTGGATTACAATAACCACCAGCATTGGTGTCAGTAAGGACAAAAAAACCCTCCAATATTGGTGTAAGTGGATGCAATAATAACCTCCAGCATCAGTGTCAGTGGACGCAATATTAACGCTCAGCAATGGTGTCAGTGGATACATTAATAATCCACAATATTGGTGTCAGTGCATTCAATAATAACCCCCAGCAATGGCATCCATGGATGCATTAATTATCTTCAACATTTGCGACAGTGCACACAATAATAATCACCAGCATTGGTGTCATTAGACACAATCATAACCCCCAACATTGTTGTCAGTAAGCGCATTAATAACCCACAACATTTATTTCAGGGAATGCAATAATAGCCCCCAGCACTGGTGTCAGTACTATTAACCTCCATTTGTGGTCACTGGCAGTGAAACTGAACCCCCCCCGCATTGGTAGTCAGTAGCAATGAGATGTAGCCCCCTCCCCATCTCCCCTGTGCTGGTGGTCAGTGGCAGTGACAGGTAATACACCCATCTCACCCGGCATTGCTGGTCATGGCAGTGAAAGTAAAACCCTACCCTCCTCTTTCTGTATTGATGATCTCGGCGTTGCATTTTAACTCCTCCTACATTGGTGGTCAGTAGAAGTGAGAGTTAACCCCCCTGTATTAGTTGTCACTGGCAGCAAAATATAATCCCCCTGCCTTGGTGGTCCGTGGCAGTGAAAGCTAAGCCCCTCTTGCAGAGGTGGTCAGTGGTAGTGAATGTTAACCCACATCTCCCCCACTAGTGATTACCTACCCATCACAAACTCAAGCACTGCTCTCTCCCAAGGCTGGGACTTTACTTTTACTGTGGGTGGAGATAGCTCTGCCCACAGTACAGCCTATCTTTCAGTGCTGGGTACTCCAGCACACTGAGTATTCAATTGCCAGCACTGTGCTGCTACTCGGCTTTCTGTATGGTACCCAGAAGCCTGAGGGCTCCAGGCCACACTGTTCTTCCACCAGCAGCTTCACTGAAGATCATACACAGCAGGAAATGAAGAAAAAATTTGAAAAAAGGAAGTCCCAGCTAAGGAGTTTAGGTCCTAATTTCTTGACATGAGGCGAAAAACTGAACTCTTTTATGCAGAGATGGGGTTTGA